ACTGAAGTTTGCTGTTGGAACAACTCACTCATCATCGTTTTATTTCCTTTGTTGCTTTACTTTTCCCCTTTCCTTATTTTTCTATGGAGTGAGACTTGGGGAGGGGATTCGTGAGAGTTTTATATAATCTTACTATCGATGTTCTTGAAACGACACAGTTTTTTTACGCAATATTTGTTTGCCAGTGAATGGCTGTTCCTGAATGAAGTTGCATATTTAAATGGGAAAAGCTTACAGTTCTTGATTTTTAAGATGTTTAAATTCAAGAATTATCAGTTTCCAGGCTGGGCTTAGGCTTATTGGAGAAAGAATAAACATGAAGTGTTCCCTATGCAATATGAGGTTCACTTAATGGTTTGATATAGCTCAAAAAAGGCTGGAAAGTGAGTCAAGTGAATGTTTGGACTTGACCCACATGTTCCTTATTGGATCAGAACGTTTACTGGATCATGAAACATGGTTATAACAAAGGATTTTTTACTTTTATTTTTGTTAAAATGCCAGCTTATTTTGTGGGCTTATAAGCTAGATCATAAGCTCCGTTAAAAAATCTTGATCGTGTTAGATGCGCCCTAGGTCTCAATCTACCTTAGTAGCATTGTAATGATATGTTTAGCAAGCCAAATTGAGGAAGAAACCTTATTTATCATAGTATACAATCATGTTGAATTCTGCATGCTAAGTAGGTTTGGTAAGGTGAATTGTACGGTAATGGACAATACAAATAAAGAAAAGAAAGTTAGCGTGCTAAATGAAATTGAACATAGTGATGGACATCACGTTTCAAATGTATTTGTTTACTAAACGTGATCGAAGGAGTATTCTAGCCAAGTAGGTTCTTTTATTCAAGTGTCTAAATTAGACGAGCAGTGGTCCAAGGGATGAACTAGATACAAAGTTGGAGACACGTAAATTTGGTAGAAAAGAGAAGTCAAATGAGGAACAAATTTCAGGATTCCCTCAATTAGGATCATAGGCCACTGCTTTTGTATGTATTGATTAACTATTCTAAGTGCAAAATCACTTTTTCGTGGAATCCCTTTCTTTCAGATAACAATATAGCATTGATGGTGGTACTTGAAAATATTCCTTTCCAGAAGGATTTTTGTGAATGATCTCTTTAATTTCGCTTTTAATTATGCTTCAATTGTCCTCTTTTTAACAATCGTCAACCAATTTTCTACATTAACGAATTGAGTATGGAACTTGGGCCTTCTTCCTACGCGTGGCATTGCTTTGCCAGGCTTTCGACCATTGTAAAAAATTCTCCACTACTGCCTCTTTTAGGAGTTTGGATTGAATCTTAGTCTTAGTGCGATCCATGCGTCAATCCAAAATGAAATAGGTGATCTCGTAGTTCTTGAAAGTTGCATTTTCATTTTCAGCTTGTAGAAAGTTACATTTAGATTCTTTATTCCTTGTTAAATTCATAAGACAATTCTTATTTGGAAGATAAGGGAATATTGTGAAAAAAATTCTTTAATTTGAGATAAGCATATTTCCTGCGTCTTAAATTGACTATCTTAGGATATGGCTGGTTTGGAACTCCATTCATTCCATCACATCAAGAATCCTTATCCTTAACTAAGCTGCAAATAGACTCAGAAAAAAATAGTTCCTGTCTTTTATAAAAAAAAAAAAAAATTTGATCTAGCCGTACGTGTAAGTACATTTTTGTAGTAAGATGTGGATTCTGAATGGAGAGAACGTGAATTGTTATCTAAAATTACGCATCCATGCGTCAATTTTTCTTGGGTGTTGGTAGGGGTGTCAAACAAACTAGTCGAGCTCGACTCGTGTCCACAAACTAGGCCTAAACATCTTGTTTGTTTTCAGAAATTAATAAAACAAGTCAAAAAAGAGTAGAGAACTTGATTTGTTAAAAAAAAAAAAATTGACTCATGCCCATGACTTGTATCAAAACGAGTTCTAGTTGTCCATGGATCGAACCGGGATGAGCCGATTCTACGAGTAACTTGGTCTATTTGCCACCCCCAGAAGTTGGAAGAGGAGGGTCTTTTTTATTTTTATTTTTAGGTGTGAGAATCTTGTGCTACGGGGATCCCACAATGGCCATTAAGAAATATGATTCTTGTTCGTGTTAATAGTCTTTTGATTTTTCGGACAAAAATGTCGGTATACTAAAGGAATTTATCGCGTGCCAAGCAAAACCCCTCAATATATTTGTAGAAATCACGTAGATTTGACGTCGAATCTAGTCTTACTTTATCCAATCAAAAATTAAGAATCTTGATTTTGGAGGTGTCTATAATAGCATCTTGGCATTCAATGCATCAGGGAAGAAGAAGGAAAATATAATCCTTCGAGCATTATCTCAAGATCATTCAATTATTCTTGATTTATAGGTTAAGTTTTTGAAATTAACGGTTCTAAGATAATCTTTGGAACATAATGTGCAAGTAAGAGTTGGTATAGTTCGATCCAATTAACATAGAACGTTCCTTGCACGTGATATTTAAATACTGAAAATTGTCTTAAATTGTTGCAGTAAATTCGATTATTTTAATATAGGACGACATTCTGTAACAAGGTTCGCATTTAAAATCTAAAAGACATGTTTCTCCTTACAATCCCTTCCATACTCATATATCCCTATTGTCCTATGCCCCAAACCCTTCCCGAGAATCTTGAAATAATTTTTAAAATTTTTTTATCAACTTTTTTTAAATAGTTTGAAGTTAAAATTGGCAAAGTACTTTAAGTATTGAAAATAGTTAAAAGTTGACGTGTAATGTAAATAAAAATAGCTTTTTTATGAAACACTTTGTTGGGGATTAACTTTTAGTACTTTACTTGTCGTTTTTCTCAATTTACTAAGGTAGAAGGATTTTAGAGTGAAAACTGACTCTGTGTGTCAATGACGAAATGTTTCAATTAGGGTAATGCGCTGCCGAGCATACACACTTTTTTTGTAACGTGGTAGCTTAGAAAAGCATGAGAGGTGAACAGCAAAGAAAAGTAAACATGTACATATTTATATGTTTCTAAATATCTATATAAACTTGTACCACACCCCTTTTTACCTGCTCCTGAACGCCCACCACTCAGTTTTTAAACCGAGAACAATTTCAGATATTAATGCACAAGTGTTAAAAATCGATGGTTTTTCCAAGAAATCAAAACTTGATTTTCAATTACAAGAATTGGAAGAAGAATTGAGAAAAATCGATGCTTTCAAACGTGAACTTCCACTCTGCATGCACCTATTAAAAGAAGGTATAATGATTTTTTCTTGAATTTTATGGTCTAATTTGTTCATTATTCATTTACGTTGAGTGACTGAACTTTTTGGGTAGCAATTGAGAGATTGACAGAGGAAGGGTTGCATTGGAAGGGAGAAAAGTTGGGAGCGGTGATGGAGGAATTTATACCAATGAAGAGTGATTTAGAACAACATCAAGGAGCCAAAATCTCAAATGATTGGAGTGAAAAGAAGGATTGGATGAGTTCATTTCAGCTCTGGAGCACTCCTCTTCAGTTTGACAGTAAATTTGATACCAGAAATCAAGAATCTGATTTGCACCCAAAATCAGTAAGATTTTTAAAATAATTTACCTTTTCTTCTTCTTTTCTCCTAAAATTTTTAGGCCTACAGATGTTTTAGCAATTGCTTATCTTTTGAATGTGATTTTTGATGGCAGAGTTGCCAAGAAGAGAAGGAGGTTTTGTGTAATTTAAAGAACAGAGCAGGGGATTCTGCATCATTCGACATACCAGTGAAGAAAGAGAGAGAATTTATCCCAGTTGAAGGCCTCTCGCCGTCTATACCTGTGGCTAAAGTGGGATCATTTGATTTGAGTTCAAAAAGTCATTTTGGTCATGGGAGGTCACTACTGCAACAGAGAAAACAGAGGCGCTGTTGGTCACCAGAATTGCACAAGAGTTTTGTCAATGCACTTCATCAGCTTGGTGGAGAACATGGTGAGGAGCATTATTCTTTTGTCCTACGTTTGTTTGTTTTGGTAAGTTAAAAGTTGGACGATATTAAAGAGGAAAAAGAGCTAAAATCTTGTTCATGTTACAGCAGCCACGCCCAAGCAGATAAGAGAATTTATGAATGTGGATGGCCTTACTAATGATGAAATCAAAAGCCATTTGCAGGTATACTACTATTCGAGAAAAATAAAATAAAATCATCTTGCTTCGGATACATGGCAGTGGTATGATATAATTATACATTTTTTTATATAATTCCAGAAACACAGGCTTCATATCAGAAAGCTTTCAACTTCATCAGCCAGTCCATCCAATTGCTCCCGGTTGACAAAAGATCAATACGGAGATTTTTCCAAGGAAACTGATGTGAATTATGGATCCCCACAATGCCCTTTGCTCCCGGGAGGATCTGTATAGGGAGAGTAGATCACTCGTGGTGATTGTATGCCCTTTCCATAGTTGGAAGGGTCTGATTCAGAGTGCAGTTAGTGGCAGCTACTTCCTGGGATTTTGCAGATACAAACATAGGAGAATCATCAAAAACATAAAACTATAAATAATGTAATGTTATATAGAGAAGTCAGTTTTTAATTTATTCTCTATTTTTAGGCTGCAAGTTCCTCGACGAGAGGCTATCACATTTTTTTTAATCTCTATTTTCTCGTGTTACAAGTTAATTTGAACTCATGTAGGCTTTGCTTTGGTGAGGTTTAAAATCAAATTTTTTAGTGGATTTTGATAAAATTTGATGAAATATATGATTGAAAAGTTATTGTTCCCATGAAATATTATAAGTCCTATTAAATAGGCCATAATTTCTTATACTTAATTGAACGTGTAATTTAATGTCATTAGTATTGTCACTTAGACTAGCATTAAAAATCAGTGATGTTAAATAACATTATTCTTTTATGTAATACGATGGAGATGTGCCATGAAATGATAAATCTAATTACGTACGTATGTAGATACAAGATTCACTTAATTATTCTTATAATTTAATATCACAAAAGTATCATCCATAATAATAAATAATATTATTCATATTAACCATCTGATTTCTTTTTATTACTTTGCGTCCGTTTGGCAAATTATAAGAGGAATAATAGTGGAGTCCACTAAATGTGTGGATAATATACAAGTAGTAGTTATGAATTTGTGAATGAAATTCATCTTTGAGTTTGTTTGAATTTATAAACAATTTATAAATTATTTGTCAAATGGAGGATATGTCTTTTACTCGGGTCGAATTAATTGAAAAATAAAAAAATGTGACCGTAAATCATGTTTTTCTTCAACAAGTCAATTGTAACAATATGTTTATAAATTCCACACGTTTGGTTGATCAGTAATAAGTTTTATGATATTTGATCGATCACAATTCTATATATTCCATTTACAATCGAAATTCCCAAGAAATTCATTAAAGGAAGGTTCCCAATCAAAATGGTTTTTATTAAGAACATTCCCATGGTAAA